ATTAAAAAATGGGTCTTTACGAGAAGCTCCAAAGGAAGAAAATGCAACTGAAATTACCCCTATCTTTGATATCATTGCCACAACACAACTGATCCTAACTGGCAATCATTTTAAACTTCTCTGATCACTTTAAAACATGTCAAATTTGTCTAAGTTGGCACTAGCAGGCAAAGACAGTTGGCCATGGATGGGCACATTCTCAAAACCGGTAAAAAGTAAACCTGTCTCCCTGATGATCTGTTCATCTAAGTTCCTGATTTAAATTTCTGCATAAAATTGAAAGCAGAGGCAGACTTTCCAAAAGAGCACGAGCAGGCACATCTGTGTCCCCACTAGTATCCTCGTCAGAAAGGGGACGGCAGTAAAGATGAAGCTCCTGCTTTCTGTATCCATCCTGCCTGGCTGCGTCCCAAACAGGGGACCCCCTGCCACCCCCATGACCCTTATCCCTCCTGTCCAAGATTCAGCAGCCCACGGTCCTCCTCCATGTTCAAAGTGACAAAGATAAATTGTCCTGGCTACCTGATTCTTGGGACCACCTGTTCCAAATACTTCTCTCTCCAAATGTTTATAATCTAACCCCCAAACACAACCCACCCAGAGCGATCCAGCACCTTCCGGAAACTTGGCTCACACCATCTACCGTAACATTTTAGGACCTTGCCACTGCCGGTAAGTTTATTGACTCTTTTTAGGAACTGAATAACAAGTGTTAGTATCGAAGGAACAAATCAAATTAGGGAATAAACAGTCATTTTCCTTTACAGAATCATCATCTGCAGAAGAGCACCATGCAAGAAGACCCGTATTTGGGTTTTCTAAATTCATGATGTGATTTTTCGTTCCGTTTAAGATAACAAGACCCAGCAGCACAGAGTCAGAAAAGAATTGTGTCCCCTTGCATTTAAAACCATCCAAATTCAGGGTCTCTCTCCAACAGAAACGTTCTCGGAGCCAAGCTTCCCCAGCAGAGGGGAAGACACAGCCCCAGGGTCTGAAAACTCTGTTCACTGGCTCTGGGGCCTCCAGTGAGCCACCTTGACTTGATGATGTTGCCACCTCTTGTTGGGAGAACTTCCTAAAGATACATGTCAGATCCCACATACAGGGCCTGATTATGAAATACAAGGCTGCGATTTGCAAGTGGCACGAAATGGCAAAGGCACCACTCTGATGGAAGCGAGTAAAGGAAAAATAAAAGCAACAAAAAGAAAATCAAAAGTCCATGGCTTCTTTTACCTCTTTGTCCTACATACACCTGGCAGGTACTTTCATACCTTAAAATTGATTTCAAATCACATGCAAGGAAGAACAAGTTCCTGCCCTCTGATTCATTTACAAGGAGATGGGGGGGGGGGGCTCTGAGCCAGTCCCGTCAGGTATTTGCCACCTGATGGAGGGGGTTTATCCTGGGATTAGAAGTTTTCTTCAAACACCATTAGGCCAGTTTAGATGTTCAAGGGGTGAAAATGAGGCATTGTCTCCAGCGAATTCTCTGCTAATTGTTTCCCTCCCAGAATCTTCTTTTTGGCCTTGTTTGTTTGGGGCTGTCTGAACAGCCACAAATGGATAGGGGGCAGGAAAAAGCGGGCCTTTCAGAAAACTGTTATGATATTGGGGGAGGGGGTTGGGGGGAAGGAGGCGGCTATGAGTGAGTGTTCTGCCTGTGCTTTCTGTCAACAGGCTGTGTTTTCTCAGCTCTGGGTTAATTCTCTGTAAAGAGATTCCTTTTGAGTGGAGTCCACCACCGACTACTTTTTCAGAGCAGCTAGCTAGGGAAAAAAAACTTCCTTCCACCAACAAAATCCAACTTTGGCAACACTTAGAAAGTTCAGGCTTTGGAGGTAACTAAATAACCAGCCACTGCAGCTCCCCCAAGTCCCACAGATACCGAGAAGGACACAGTCAAGCAAATTCTGCCTTTACGAAAAATCTTTGGGTGGAGAACGTTCTCCTCTGGCCCAAGGAATTCACATCAGGCCAGGCAGCCTAGCATTTTATCTGTGCATGGGTGATAAGCAGGTAGTTTTAGGTTCTTATCCTGCAATGTGAGAGGAAGTCTTCTTATCCAGGTGCTCGTGTGCTGTCTCTCTCTCTCTCTCTCTCTCTCTCTCTCTCTCTCTCTCTCACACACACACACACACACACACACACACACACACACACACCCTCAGACCTGAGGACCCTGTTTAACACTGACACTTTTACTTCTCCCCAACGCAACTTCTGTGTGAAGGAGGTCCGGCCAGCAGACAGCACCGACCCCAGCTGCAACTCCCAGCCACCTCCTTGGAGAAGACAATGCCCCGTGTGCGGCTATTTAGGAACAAATGTCTAAACAAGTATCTCCGCTCCCTCATGTCCCCCAGACAGCCATGGGCTCTCTCTGCCAGGAGAGGCATCTGTCACGAGCCGCTGGGAAGCGGGCTCATGCACCATAACGGCCTGCGATTTTATTATACAAGGAGTTTATTGCTGGCCTAATTAGTTTCAAACTGGGCATTCCAGCTGAGGACACCTAAAAAACATCTGGTGGAAGGAGCCGAATAAGTCCTCTTTCTGAGCTGGTTACGGTTGGATTTCTGCATAACTCTGGTCTCTTGTGCCTGACACAAGTTATCTTTGGAAAAGTAACTGCAAAAATAAGGAAATGGTTTCTTCTTTGTGGGAAACGAGTCCTCTTGTCATGGGGGAACCAGAAATGTCTTAAAGTGGATGTGCTTGCGATGGGTGTATAAACTGCCAGGGGTATCACTGGGTTGCTCAAACTAATTCAGACTGTGTCAATACTTAGCTGCACCAAAGGGCGTTTCACTGTGAACTTTTCTGTTCTCCCAGCAGCCGCTAGCATTTTATCAATTTATCCGCCTGGAACAGGCTTGCCATCTCTGCTATGCAACCGAAAGCAGAAGCAACACTGCATATTTGGAACAGTATATCTTGGGTGTTTTTGTCAAATGGTAATCCTTTAACAAGTCGACAAATTCCATCTCTTTATGTTGCATTTAATACAACACAAAAAGCATGAAAAAGAAGATTCTAAAACCAAAGTGATTAAAACTTTTTTTAAAAAAAAATCCCCAAGCTTTGGGATTCACAATATCCTTTTCTTTTCTTTAGTTACTCACTATTAGGAAAGAGATGTCTGCAATCAGAGTGTGTTCTACACACAATCACTAACACCGCAGGTGAGCTATTTAAAGACAGAAGAAAAAGGTCAAGTCCTTTAAGATAAAATAGTTAATAAAATGAAGCTGAAGTTAAGAGACAAGCATGGAGTAACTGCTATTTGTGTATGGGACAGATCAACAGCTTTTCAAAAGTTCAGAGCCTTTCAGAGCCAGCTACACTGGTCAAAAAGCCCAATTTAGAGTCTCCTCCAAAGGCAAGGAATTCTACAAGACGATTTTATGTTAGTCAAAAGCAAGATTCAAAGCATTATCATCTGCTAGATAAAATTTTTATTAACTTTCCCGAGCCTGGAGATGTCTAAATGCAAGGAACTATGAAGTTTAGGGGCTTTTAGGTGATGGGGGAGAAAAAAAATTGGGGGGGTGGTGGTGAGGGAAGGAACATTTCTTGATTACTTTAAAAAGGAGGTTCTTATTTCTCTCTCCCACCCCCTCCCCCTGCCCTGTGGCTCCTGTGCTGTAAGGCGGCCACTAGCTCAGTGCTCAGACTCTGGTAGCAGAATTTTCACTCAAGCAAGAAAAGTCTTAGGAAATTATGAGATTCGATTTGAAATACAACAATTGTCCACTAGTTATAATTTCCTTTGGAAGGGAGCTCGCTAATTCAAACATAATTCAGCGCTCAAATTCTTAGTTGGTGTCTGTAAATCATTCTACCTCCCCACTGCTCTTGCTAACAAGTCCCTACTCCACGGCTCACTCATTTCACTGCACCTCATATTTAAAAGGTGCCTTCCACCCGGGGTGATTTATATATATTCCGACGTTATAATAAAAAAATAATTAAAGATTATGCAGCCTTTCTGGGAAGGGGAGAGAAAGGAATAGCGGTTTCCACAAACATGCAGTATCAATTTTGCTTTTTAAAAAGAATGCAGAAGGCAGGCCGCGCGCGCTGTCCACGCAGCCCGGGCTCGGCTCCGGGGAGGCAGCAGCCGCGCTGCGCCCAAGCGGCCCCGGTCAGCCACTAAGCAAGGCGCGCTGAGGATTTTTGAGATGCGAGTGTTTTTATCAGTGAAGCTTTCCGAGGATTCCTTGAGCTCATCCACTCCTTGTTTGGGGGCAGGAAATGCATTTCAGGAGTTGGGTGAGCTCGGCCTCTCAAGCTCCCTGACGGCAAGGCTGGAACAAAACTTCCATTCTCCGCTCTCTCCCCTTACAGCGAATCCCTCTCCTTCCAAACCTCCTCTCCAAGGCAAGTTCTCTAAGTTTCCCCCCGACTCCAGCGGGCGCCAGGACGCCGGCTCCGTCGGAAGCCCCGGGAGCTGGACCCGAAGCGCAGGCCGCGCGCGAGGGACTTTGGAAAAGAACCGCGGCCAGAAACAAAGTCGCTTCAGCCCCATCCTGGGGAATCGGCGGCTCCATCTCGGCTGCCCCCCAAATACGGTCCGAGCGCGCGTCTCCCGGCGCCCGCCTGCAGCCTCCCGCTCGCCCCTCATCGCGAGCCCCCCAGGTCCACAACGAGCCGCAAGAGGAGCTACCCAGGCGCGTCTACACCGCCGGCGCTCGATGCACTTGTCCCGCGCGCGCGAGAGCAAACCTCAGGGACGCGGCTCCCCAGCGCGCGGGGAAACTGAGGCCCGGCGCCCGGGCGGGCGCCCCGAGCCGGGTCTGCGCTCTCTCCGCGGCGCTGGTGCCGGAGGCGCCTCGAAGCCCCGGGCGCGGGGATCAGCCCGTGCGCCGCGGGCGCCGCGACAGCTGCGGGGCCCTCGGCCGGGTCGGCACCCGCGGGGCGCGAGGCGCGGGGTCGGCGCGCACCCCCGGGCACCTCCCGCGGGCGGCCGGCCGTGGGCGCGCGGGGCTACTCACCGCGCGCAGTGGAGAGGGCGCCGGCGCGGCGCGGCGCGGGGCGGCGGGCGCGGGTCCGACGCGGCCCGGCTGACCGCGGCGGGCACGTTGCTGCCTCTGCCGACGCCGAAGCCTCCGCCTCCTGGGCTGCGGCCGCCGCTGCTGCGCGGGGAGGACCGGCCCCTTCCCTCGCTCGGCCGGGCCCTCCCTCTGCCCCCGCCCGGGTCCCCGCGCCGCTGCGTGGGCGCGTGGGGGCGCCGAGGCGCGGCGCTGAGCTCGGCGGGCGCACACCCCCGGCGGCCGAGCGCCGGCACCTGGCTCGGGTCCTGCAGCTGCCGCGGCGCTGCTCGCTGCGCCTGAGGCTGAGCCGAGCGCGCTCCGAGCGCCGGTCTTGGAGAGGCGAGGGCTCAGCCTCCTCCCACCCACTGACACCCCACACCTCCTCCCTCGGCAACCTAGGCGCGGCCCCGGAGAACGGAAAGACGGCTCGGGAGGGACGTCAACAGTGACACCGGATTCATTCATTCAGCCACCCATTCAGCCACCCATTCATTCATTCATCACGCAGTGCGCAGCTCCTGTGCAGGTCGGTGCAGCTCCTGGGAGATTCAGCTGGAAAAGACAGACTCGTTTTCTGGCCTCCCGGAACTTGCAGGCACATGGGGGAGAGTGACCATAGATAATCAATCAAGTGGAGAAACAAGATCATGTCAATAATGTTTAATTCCTATGGAGGGGAAAATATGAAGTGCAGGGGTGGAGGGTGGGAACCTTAGCTAGTGTAGTCAGGGAAGACCTCTCTGAGGAGGTGACACCTGCTTTTGAGAAAAAGCCATTGGTGGTGGCATCTGGGAGAGAGGAGTTCAGGGATCTCCTTCTGCCCATTTGATAGGTAAACTGAGGTCGCAGAACCTAACTGGCTTCCAAAGTACTTTCCACACACACCCTCAGATGAAGACACTTATTTCATCCCTCCGACCATCTCTTTCAAGCTTCCCAAAACACTACCTGGAATGGAGACCATGGAGCATTTTACTTCTTTTCACCCCTTTGCTAATGTTTATGAACCGCTGTGAGAAGCTTCAGTACCCCCCAAACTATACAGAACCCCACCATTTGTTAAGCTCAGTGTAGTACAGGGTACCCAGATGAATCTGAATCCCAGAGAAACAAGGAACAAGGCTTGTAAATATAGCCTTTGCAGTCGGTGGTACATACGTACATTAAAAAGTATTCATTAGTGCCATGAAATTCCAGTTTCCTGGCGCCTCTATTTTCTTTTGCTAAATCTGGCAATGCTAAACTCACCCAGTGTGCCTGCCCTTCCTTTCTTCTTTAACCTGCTCCCCCCACCCCCAAGGAACCCAAAGGTAGATACTTATTTCACAAATGATTAAATTCAAACTCAAAGAATGCAGAAACGGCTGAGATTCAGGTCCAGCAACACCTAAGCGCCTGACATAGAACACAGGGCTTACTGGGAAGCTGATGAACGAGTTCCTGGGTCTCCTGTCGTCTGGGTCTCTCTCTAAGGTCCTGACAGGACCCTAGAAATGTGTTCAAATGGTTGCTTGTTTGTGTAAAATTTTGCTAAAGTCACTTGCTTTTGACACTTAGCTGCAACCAGAAAAGAGGATCGTCTCTTTCTGTTCCTACTCCCCGTTGAGTAGGGTGGTGTCGGGGAGGCCTCTGACATTTTGAGAATCCACAGAAGGAAAGTTAAGTTGGGAATTCTGTGATGTTTGTGATAGGCTTAAAATCTGAATTTGATGTACTCTTTAGTTGAAATTGAACCTGATTTCAGATTCTTAATTTTTTATTCTATTTCTTAAATTGGGTCCTAAAATTGTATAGGGTGCAGGTCCCACTCTGGATCCACCTCTGGTCATTGCTAATTCTATGCCCTTTCTACTCCCAAGACTTCAGACAGAAGCAAAAGTATTCAGTAAGTCAGGTTGTTCTCTTCCCAAGAACGCAGTAAGCTGCTCCTGGATGAACAATGGCTCTTCTTCTTCTTTTTTTTTTTAAAGATTTATTTATTTTTATACAAGAACCGGGGTACAGGCCAGATGTGTGAGAGGGTGAGAGGATTTACCAGAGACAGAGCAGGGAACAGAACAGGCAGACTGAAGAAATACACTGCTGAGAGGAGCAGCGGACAAGACAGGAGAGGTCTGCTTCGCCATGTGGGATTCTCGCAAGCCAGCCAGGATCTAACCCGCGCTACAGAGGCTGTGGACAGCTTCACAGTGCAGTGCTCAACCACCTGCACCACCAGGGAGGCCTGAACACGGCTCTTCTTTCTCTAGATGCAGACCCTACATGGGTACTTGACCTTGATTTTCCTCAGCTCCAAAATGGAGATAACAGTACTCATTTTACATTATTATCATGCAGTTCACTGAGATCATGCTTGCTGTAGTTTCCTCTTGCCTGTAGCTGGCACTAGCAGTTACAAAACAAATATTATTACTGTACACACAACTTCACTTCCCATAGCATCTTTGCAAAAAAGCTCCAAGTCATTATAAATTGAGCGTCTTAATGTTCTCCAGAGGTGTTAAATTTATCTTGGCCCATGAGCCTTCATATAATGTTTAAACAGTGGTAGTAGCTGATTTTTTCCCCCGAAGGAATAGAATAGAACATAGCGGAATGGAAAATATGAAGTGAATTGCATAGAGGGGCAGGGGGAACTAGATGTGGATGTGGAATATGCTTTCTTGAATATCTTGGGGAAAATGTTGAAAAATACTTATGAATTCACTAAGGATGCTCTATGGAATATAAAGGGTTAATCTGTTTCCTTCAAACCATTTCACTCCCTCACCAGAATCTGACCCATTATCTCATAAATCACAGCCACACCCCAAGATCCCCTGAGAGATAAACAGGAGGCAGGTGCTTATTAATTTTATTTTTTCCCCTTCTCTTAGGGCAGTGGTTCTCAAGCCTGGCTGCACATTAGAATCTCCAGGGGAGCTTTTAAAAATCCCCCTGCTGAGGTCCCACCCCAGGCCAATTAAGTCAGAGTCTCTATGGGAGGGATGGAGGCATCAGTATTTTTAAAAGTTCCCTGGGTGATTCCGATGTGCATCAGAGGACGAGAGTGCGATCTCTGGGAGAAGGACTTGACCACAGCTTTATAGCAAGTGACGGGATGGAAGGCTTCCGGATCCGTATTCAAGACCTCTTAACATCCAGCCACCTTCTTACGGGGGAGTGCCCTCTTTCCCTTGCCTTCTTTCCCTTGGTTTCTTCTTGTCAAATATTTGCCCTCATTTTATACTAATCAGCAAAGTTAGCCCAGGCAAAATCTGAAAATGCTAAACCATAAGAACATTCTTTGCAATACAGACCACAGGCACGCCTACCCTGGAGTAGAGCAATTTTTTACCGCCCAGAGTCTTCCAAGTAAGTGTCCTCTGAAGTTAAAAGAACAGCTTAACTTTGAAAACTGCAGACTTCACAGAGCCTACATACATGGCCCACAAACATACACATGTATTCTCCACACCAAATCACACCTCATTTCTACAAATATTCCCTTCCCATTTGCAAAGAACTCCTCTACAGAAAAGGTAACCTGTGTTTTCTTATTTTCAAATGCATTCAATTCATTTAAGCCATGACTCTTTCCAAAAAGCATTTGAGGCAGCCTGGAAGACATATCTATGGCAGCAGAAGAAAAAAACAACAAAGGCTGGTGAATGGGAAGTGTCAGGGATGAAAAGAGAGCCCAGGGTGAGTTTTGCATATAAAACTTGGGCTAGGAGGTCCTGAGTATTTGCCAGTGGTACAATGAGAATTGTGTGCTGAGCTTCCTGGTAGCCAATGCAAAGAGAAAAATGTGGTCAATTCTATTGGCTTTCAAACATTCTTTATTGTTAAAAGCAAGCATGCACGAAAGCTCAGTATGGAAACTCAGGTCCAGGCCTTTCTCCTATGGGTGCTTGAAAAGTGTCTCAAAGGAAACCCCAAAGTTCTGCAGAATCAAGATTAAAAACCATGGATTTCAAATTCACTGTGTTCACAATTCTTAACGGCTATAAGATAGAAACAAGCTGAACTACTTGAACAAATCAGAACTTGGGCAGATTTGACGTAGGGGAATTTTCCCCAAGGGTCCTTATAAAAGAGGAAGATAAAGGAGGTGGTGCAGTGTATATGTGGGGGGTAAGCTAGGGGGTGTTTTTGCAGACATGTGAATATAAAATACCTTTCATTTGCCCCGACATATAGGCATGAGTATCACATCCTCATCCTCCATAAGCCAAGAACACTCACAGGCACACCTTGAACATCTTCTGGGTAGTCTTCTGCTAGAATGCCTCCTTGTTTTTAATACACCAACTTAATAGAAGACATGTTTCTCACACTTATCAGACCATTATTGATAAAGCAAAACTTCTATTTGCATCACCTACAACTCGATCATAACACGTCTATCAATATAATACATAAGAAAAGCAGCATTTCATCTACCATGGAGAGAACATCAGAGTCACATTGTGAAAAATATAGCAAGAAACAAAGAAAGCCCATCTTGACATACATCAACTCTTGGTTGAAAACTTTTCCTGGTGACCAGGAAGCCAAACTTCAAGCATTTTACATCCCAACAAGCTAGTTTGGTATTTATTGGTCACCATTTTAAGGGCTTTGTTCGATTTTGAGCTACTGTTATTGGCATCTTGGGTTGACATTTTGAAATCTTCCCCATTCGAAATAACAGGAAATCAACTCCAGGGCGTATTTTTAGGCAGTGCATCAGAATTTCAGGGTCGCCAATGAAATTGGGTGACAATGAATTGGGGACTTCCACACTTATTTGCACACTGATTGCCATGGGCAAAGAGACCTGGACATACCCACATGTGCTGTTCCTTCTACTCACACCACCGCTCCGTGTCACAGTCCTGGGGCTTTCACCCCTCACCCCCACCCCACTCATCTCTCTTCACCCCAGAGAGGATCCACCTGACCAGCAGCGTCTACACCACACTGTCCTCCATCGTCCTCACCCACGATGCTCC